ACTTCCCGCGCCGGTCTGAGGGGCCCCATCCGCCCCTGTTACTTTCACTTGGTTATGTGTCAGAATAGAAAAAAAAATATGTGGTCTATATAATAATAATAATTAGGTGCTTTTTAGGTGCTAATTACAGGGCTACTAATTAAAAATTGGGTGCTCCTTTAGTTTTTGAGATAATAAAAAAAAAAAAAAAATAGAGGGACTGCTAGGTTAATCGAAACTAAGAGTCCTAAAGTAAAAAATATTTTTTCAAATTTTTGGTTTGTATCAGAATTAGGTGCTTTTTAGGTGCTCCTAAATAGTCGAAGAAAAAATTGATGCGATTGATTTTACAGATTTTTTTTTCATTATTAGGGGACTGCTGGCTTTACGTTTACTTGTTGGTGTGTCAGAATGGCAAAAGAACATCGGGATCTATATAATAATTAGCAATCCCTTAGTTTTTTTTTATTTCCCCAAAAACTAAAGGAGCACCTAATTATTATAAAGATTTCGAAGTTTTTTTTCATTCTGACACACCACTAGTAAACGTAAAGCCAGCAGTCCCCTAATAATGAAAAAAAAAAATCTGTAACTCAGTTAATAATCAATCGCTTCAATTTTTTCTTCGACTAATTGGGAGCACCTAAAAAGCACCTAATTCTGATACAAAAGAAAATTTTGGAAAAATATTTTCCACTATAGGGGACTACTAGCTTTCATAAACCTAGCAATCCCTTAGCTTTTTTTGATTTTCTCAAAAACTAGAGGAGCACCTAATTTTTAATTAGAGGCCCTAATTAGCACCTAAAAAGCACCTAATTATTATATAGATCCCGAAGTTTTTTTGCCATTCTGACACACCAATAAGTAGACGTAAAGCCAGCAGTCCCCTAATAATTAAAAAAAAATCTGTAACTCAGTTAATAATTAATCAATTCTATTTTTTCTTCGACTATTTAGGAGCCCCATATAGGGGACTACTAGCTTTCATAAACCTAGCAATCCCTTAGTTTTTTTTGATTTTCTCAAAAACTATAGGAGCACCTAATTTTTAATTAGAGGCCCTAATTAGCACCTAAAAAGCATCTAATTATTATATAGATCCCGGAGTTTTTTTGCATTCTGACACACCAACATGTAAACGCAAAGCCAGCAGTCCCCTAACAATTTAAAAAAAAAATCTGTAACTCAGTTAATAATTAATCAATTCTATTTTTTCTTCGACTATTTAGGAGCACCTAATTCTGATACAAAAGAAAATTTTGGAAAAATATTTTTCACTATAGGGGACTACTAGCTTTCATAAACCTAGCAATAATCCCTTGGTTTTTTTTTATTTTCTCAAAAACTAGCGAAGCACCTAATTTTTAATTAGAGGCCCTAATTAGCACCTAATTATTATATAGATCCCGAAGTTTTTTTGCCATTCTGACACACCAACATGTAAACGCAAAGCCAGCAGTCCCCTAATAATTTTAAAAAAAATCTGTAACTCAGTTAATAATTAATCAATTCAATTTTTTCTTGGACTATTTAGGAGCACCTAAAAAGCACCTAATTCTGATACAAAGAAAAAATTTGAAAAAATATTTTTCACTAGAGGGGACTGCTAGCTTTTATAAACCTAGCAGTCCCTTAGTTTTTTTTTTGATTTTCTCAAAAACTAAAGGAGCACCTAATTTTTAATTAGAGGCCCTAATTAGCACCTAAAAAGCACTTAATTATTATACATATAAATCCCGAAGTTTTTTTCCATTCTGACACACCAACATGTAAACGTAAAGCCAGCAGTTCCCTAGTAATTAAAAAAAAATCTGTAACTCAGTTAATAATTAATCACTTCAATTTTTTCTTGGACTATTTAGGAGCATCTGAAAAGCACCTAATTCTGATACAAAGAAAAAATTTGAAAAAATATTTTTCACTATAGGGGACTGCTAGCTTTTATAAACCTAGCAGTCACTTAGTTTTTTTTTGATTTTCTCAAAAACTAAAGGAGCACCTAATTTTTAATTAGAGGCCCTAATCAGCACCTAATTATTATATAGTTCCCGAAGTTTTTTTCCACCTTGGGACTGCTAGGTTTATAGACCTCTATAGTGGCGGCCCTGACTACAGTGATGTTTCTTCAGGGGTCATGCCCCCTTTTCTGCCCCTGAACTTTTTTGTGGTGCGCCGCTAGTAGATTCTAAAAAACACGTATCACCGACCCTTATCGAGAAAAAAAAAAAAAAAACAAACAAATCTCTGTAATGAAACTATGACTCAATAAAACTTTTTTTTTTCAACACCCCGTATATCGGTAGCGAAACATATAGGTCCGCAAAGACCTTTGTTTATTAGAAATTTTAGTCATAAAATAAACCAAATCATCCCCGTTTGCACATTATATTTAAGAACACCCTGTATGTACATTATGTACAAATATTAACTTTCATCTCCTAGATAAAATAGTGTTCCTAACTCTTACGGAAAGTCTCTTATTTTACCACTTGATTCCTTGGCCGAACTCCGCTACACGTAGTTCGGCCAACTGGAGTAGCGTGCGGAAAAATGGCACTTTCCGCACTAGTTGGTTTCTGGGGTCCCAATTGATGGTCTAAAGTTAAAATCACCACAAAAAAAAAATTGAAATTTTACCATTTTGGAAGGAAGACCTCTATGGACATGACTTTTTGAAAATTTTGAATAAATCATAACTTTTTTCTATCATACATAGAAAGCAGAAATTTCCAGCGATTCTCATCGCAGTAGAGAGGACTACAAACCCTGCAAAATTTCAACTCATTTGGACTTACAGTTCCTGAGAAAAAATCGTGTTAAGGAATTTGGGGAGAATTTTTGGACTTTTTCTAAGGTCCTTTTTTCATATACACTCATCAAAAAAGTCTAGGGAACAAGAAATATTCATCTTTTAATTTTGAGACAGAATAACTTTTTTTTAAAAGATACCATATGGGTATTTGTTGAACAAATCTTCTCAAATTTATTATATCGGCTTTTCCAGCAGGCTTTAACAAAATTTAAAAATCTTTTAAAAGTATATTTTGTTCAATTTATGAATGTATTCAGTTGCATCTTGTTCCCTAGACTATTTTGATGTGTGTATTTCGGCTTCAAATCCCATGATAAATCACTGTATATGAAGCTTCTGGGGTTCCAATTGATCGTCTAAAGTTAAAATCTCCACAGAAAAAAAAAATTAATTTGACCATTTTGGAAGAAAACTTTGAATAACCATAACTTTTTTTCTATCATAGATGGGAAGCTGAAATCATTGGTTCCTTCTGGTTCGGATGATGAACCTTTGATCAATTTTTTAACTTATTAAGTTTTAAATTTTATTTTTGTTATTTTCTTTATTTTTGAGAATCTTTTTCACTTTTCTCAATATAAAGGACTCCGCACACATCTTATGGAATTTTGGTGCTGGGTCAAACTTGATGAAATTTTGGTATGTATGTTGTTTCTCTTAAGGTCCTGATCAAAAGTGTCCATGGGCACAAATGAATCCTTTGACTAGTTTTTGAGATACAGGGTGTTTAAAAAGTTGAATATTTGATTTTAATTATGTGCTCACCAAACTATTTTTTGGTGTTTTGACGAATATGATTGAGATGAAACAATATTTTTACATAAATAAATTGTTGAAGACATAACTGCATACCTAAACGATTTTGTATACAGGAAGTACCAAACGATTCTCTTTTTTTTAGCCAAATTATTGTCGGAATACTACAGAAAACGATTTTATGTAGGATAATAGGTACTTTTAAAATATTCTATATTTTTTTTATAGAAAAATGTTATTAGTTGAAAGATCATTGCAGTTTCCAGTTATATTTGACTTTGCCAAATACAGGGTGTCTACTTGAAAGTTGCGTACTGCGTATAAAAAAACTTTATTATTTGTTATTTCTCAGAAAATATTGTTGACAAAATATTATCTGCCTTATTAAAAAATACTTCCATTAGAATTGGAGTCAATCATACAAAATGACTCAAAAATTAAAATTATACATAATTAAAAAAATTGGGCTATCGCAGCCATGCTATACTAAATACCGTTAAGAACACTTAGATATTTAATAAAATTCAACGAATAATAAATAATTGATATTCAAAATATCACAAACTGTCAATATGTTGACTCTTGCTAGCATTGCTCAGCAGCCAAATACTGGAATAAAATAATCGATAGCATGGATGACTGCGATAAAGCCAGAATGAATAATTTTAATTTTCATGAAATCCTATATAATTGCCTCATATTCTAATAAAGAATGTTTTCTGAGAAATACCATTTAATTAAGTTTTTTATGTGCAGCTAACTTTCAGGTAGACACCCTGTATTTGGCAAAGTCGGATATAGCTGAAAACTGTTTCAAATAATAGCAATTTTCTATAAATAAAATATGTGGGTATAAATAAATACTATTAAATTGAAAGTATTACCTACATTGAAAATGATTAGGCCAAAAAAATTGATATAAAAACGAGGGGTAAATACACCCTGTAAACAAAATCGTTTAGATGTATGTACAGTTTATGTATACTACAATCATTGAATATTGCTTCCTCTTGATAATTTTCGCTCAAACCCCAAAAATTAGTTCGGTGAGCACCTAATCAAAATTGCATATTCAACTTTTCAAACACCCTATATTTCAAAAACTAATCATAGGTTTCATTTGTGTCCATGGACATGTTTGATCAGGACCTCAAAAAAATAACATACCAAAATTTCATTTGACCAGCCACCAAAATCCCATAAGATGTGTGCGGGGTCCTTTGGTAAATCACCTTTTTAATGCGTTTAATTTATTGATTTTATTGAGAAAACTTTAAAAATTGTTAATAAAAATAAATATCAGGAAATTGATTTATTGATATTTATATAGGTAAATATCATATTCTCGAACCCTGCCCTTCTTAACAGGACAAAACTACAATAAAACAACGAAACAATCAATTAATTGTATACTTTACGAGATTCCAATGTACATTGTATAATTCTCTGTATAATTTAAATACAAATTTACCTTGGTGCTCTAGTATCGAACCCATAGGAGGCAAAATATACGCATCTAAGATTTAAATACCATAATAATAATTGTATGGATTTTTATCTGGTGGGGAACAGATGCTCATCTAACACATCCTTTTGGCTACATCAGATTACATTTTTTTTTTATATCTTTTCTGCCAAACTACCCAAAAATAGGACATTTTGGAAGCATGCTTTTAGTGTTCAATGTGAATAGAGTTGCTAAAATTTTAATTTTTGACCCAAAAATAATAACACAAAGAAATACAAAACTTCCTTATAATACGAGAATATTGAAATTAACTGAATTATGAATCAAGGAAAATTAATAGACGTAAAATGACTGCAACTTGGTGCAACGCAAATCCAAAAATAGAGCTGGCCAATTATTCAGTAATGCACTGACCAAGCCAGTCAGAACTTTACATATTCAGCAAACCAAAAATAAAACGAGAACGGCAAAATGATAATTTTACAACCCTGCTTGTGTCTAGATGGAAATTTTAAATTATGTGATGCCAGAAATATCCTGATTTAGATTTGTTTCAATTAGAACTGCACACAGTTTTGAACACTTCAAGGGGTATTTAGATAATTTCAAGCAAATTTTGTGAAAAGGGTGCAGAAAAACTCAGATCGTGAATTAAGTATAAGTACCTGAAATTTGCAATTTTTCTACATACCTATTAGTACATTTTACTTTAGAAAATATAAATTTTGTTTGTTTTTGTGGTCAGAAACTAAGTAATTTGAAAAAAAAATAGTTAAAAATGAGAAATATGCAATGCTATTTTTTTTTAAATAGAATTTACCTATTATTGTTTCCACTATTTAAAAAAAAATAGCCAGTGTTTTAGGTAGGCATAAATAATTGAAATTCACATTTTTTTCTTTGTAAAGTAGAGGAACTAAAACACAGATTACATAATTGAATTTGGACAACTTTGTGCCAAAAAGATTTACTTCAACCATGAACTGTAAACTTAGCCCGAGCTGTATAACAAAAAAAAAATAATTTGAGGAAGTATTGCATAGTTAGGTTTAAGATTCATATGGCCTGCCTACATTTTACCTCATTCATATAATAATATAACATTTTTTGAAACTTTGTTAATACAAAAGCTGTAAAAAATATGGAAGTCAAACATATGTGTCCTCTGGCTCTTTCACAAAAAATTGAGGATAAACAAGAAATAGCCTCTCACATCAACAATCATCATATTTCAAAAGTTTTTTAATTTTTAAACTGGATAAGTAAGTCAAATTTTGTCTCTATTTTTGGTAAGTTTTCCAATTAAGCCCTAAAAAAATAAATAAAATTGCTACTGTTATTCTATAAATTCAAATGAATTGAAGGCAGCCTAAAGAGGGACATTTATATTGTCTATTACAAAAAACATACATCACAATTCTCGCTATTTCTTAAAAAATTATGTACATTAAATAAAAGGCCCTACTTTTCAAATGTATATTGTGAGAAACAAAAGGTGAATTCTATATTTGAATAAGTAACTAACAACTTAATGCATTTCCCTCTATTATTCAAATCAACACAAACATACTTTTCAAATGGACTAAAAATGCACTGGATTTTTTAATTTAGTCACTTTTATTTTTATAATTTAATAAATCAGTCACCTACAGAGAGCGAGGGTTCATTATTGTTCAACCATGGATGCTTCAGACATTCTGCTGCAGTGGCCCTTTTGTCCGGATCAAAGTCCAACATTGGTTTCAGGAAGCCTGCAAATTCGCGGGCATTTTTGGGCGGCCACTCATATTTTTCCTGCAACACATCTTCAAGACCCCATGGTTTCAACCCTGTAATATGGCGAAGTTCATTTTTCTTGTTGAAAAATAATTTAGAATTTGTTCCACTTTGGGCAATTCTTTTCGGAATGTTTCCCAATAACTCAATGATATGGGCTAAATGGTCTTCATCTCTGCAATAATCTTCTCCAGAATGTGGTTCAAATAAATAGTCTCCAGTGGCTAATTCAAAGGCCATGCAAGCAGTGCTCCAAATATCGGCTGAAGTATTATAGCCAGCACCAAGTAGAACTTCCAAAGATCTGTATTGTCTTGTTTGGATGTCTTCTGTGAAATGTTTGTCGACCCAACAAGCATTTCCGAGGTCAGCAATTTTGACCTCAAAATCACATTCAACAAAGGCTGGATCTAATTCCATTTTACTTTCACTTTTTGAAGTTAGAGAAGGAGAGTCATCTTCAGACATTATCACAACAGGGTCAGCAATAGACGGTTCATCACAAGGGATATTTTCTCCACCACCAATCTCATCTACACCATTAATAATTTTATCATTAGCGACTTCTTCATCATTTGTACAATTATTACACTCTATATCATCATCATTAACATCATCATTAACATCACCATTTTCTTTGCTAACTTTCTTCTTTTCTTCAATCTCGATAATTTGTTCCATTTGTTTTTTGAGAAGTTCATTTTGCCTCTTAGCCTTTTTTTTGAGTTTTTTCTTTTTATTTTTGCTCATTTTTTGGGGAGGTGCTTCTTGTGGAGGTGCAGTGCTTATAAGAGAAGTTGGTAGTTTAACTCCTAATTGGTGCATTTCGGCTGCTTCACAAGCAAGCCGTCTAATATATTCTTCAGAGACACATACAAGTACATTTTCTGGTTTTATGTCTGTATGGATTATTTTGCACTTTGAATGTAAATAATCTAGACCTTCTAAAACTTGTCGCATTATAGTACGAACATTGGCCAATGGGATGCCTCGGTAATTGGATTTTATTATAAGTTTTAATAAATGATGACCAAGAACTTCGAAGACCATGCACACATGCACCCCATTAACCCCACTTATTTTGAAATCATTCAGAAGTTGGACTGTTTTGTTCCTTTTGGGGTCTTGTGGATCAGAGTCGCGGACTGATCTGAGGATTTTGATTTCATCCAAAGCAGTTTCAGTGAAATGTTTAGCTGATTTTACAATTTTTAAAGCTACAAATCGTTTGTCTTCGAGATCCCAGCAAAGCCAAACAGTGGAAAAATGACCCCAACCTAATTTTCTAGTGACATGATACCTTCCAAGAAAGAGGTCGCCAATCTTGACGGGGTGGTATCCTCCCTTCTGATAATCGGTGCTGTCCTCTTGTTCTTCTTCATCACTTGTATACGGTGTATCCGGGTCCTCGATAGTCTCATTGCTGGAACTGTGGGAAGGCTCGTTTTTCGAACGGATCCGATTCTCCCCATGTCCATTCATATTATCGTTCTTGCCTTTCTTCTTGTTGGGCTTATGGCGTTTCTTCTTAGCCTGGATAGCCAGAATACGTCGATTTACGTCCACTTTCGAGCTCATTTGATTAACTTTTCTGAACAAACACCACCGAAAATTTCAAAAAGAAAAACGTCAAAAAATTCTCATAATTTTTTGCAAAAAACACTTTTGTTTGATTATGGCCGCCGATCAAGAACTCCCGGTTGTTGCAGATAGCGCTGTCGTCGCAAATTTTTTCGTAAATGTCATACTCATCACAAAATTATTTGTTTTTGTGTTGGCATCACGACGGAGTACTTCGAACTCACTCTCACTATTCGGGAGTGCGTCCCAGACTAAAATACAGAATAGAATAGAACACGGAGAAACTATAATTCATTTGATTTTTTTCTTACTACGTGGGTTCGTGCATTTGAGCCGATGCTCTTGTTCATAGAAGTAGGTAGTAACGTTCGGCTTGTGAATCAGAGTGCACGGATTGGCGTTCTCATTACTCTGGATTGGCGCTCTGATTACTCCGGACCGAAAATATCCGATTCCAAACCAGTTCGGAGCTAATTCAAGATTGTAATAGAGCCCAGTTATAATCCGATTCAGGATTTGATCGGTTTATAACTGCTCTTTTATTTTTGTTTTATCGGAAAAAGCTTCGGGAGAAACGAGAATGAAAGGGTTGTCTCGAACACGAAGTTCTTGTTAAAAGCCTGAAAACGGGTTAGTTCAAATTAGGTTCGGAACCTGTAAAATAAAAATTCGGAATTTTGTGAACCGCGAACGCATTATAACTGCGTCTGTAAAAAAACTCCGAAATTCTGAGTAAAGGGGCGGATTCACAGGCACAGGCTTAAAATATAAATTTCTCGAGGATAATCAATCATAACTGATTATGCTGGGCTACGTGATGTGTCAATTGTGTCATACTCCCCTAACTCCCTCACAATGAACTATAACCAAAAGCTGGAATGCGAACACATAAGGACGAACGTGAAGCCTAGTGCAGCTGCTGCGGAGGGGATACCTGTTTTTGTCGCACTCATTATGTTAAATGGCGAAAATTGCGCTCCCTCACCATCAAATTCTGGGCAAGCGAGTGACGTCACTATCAGCAGCTTATAGTAATGACGTCACTCACAGACCTCGATGGAATGCTTGTGATTCAGGCTGTGCTAGTGATTTAATTTTTTCGCCGATTTTAAATGTAGGAAAGGTGATTTTTAGTCTGTTCTCACAGAAGAAATTAAGTGTTTTAGATCCTCGAATATCCCATAATTTGATGCTGGGGGAATTAGGGGAGTACAATGAACTATAGTCAAAAACTGGAATGCGCACACATTGCCATATCTGTCAAAAAAATGTAGCCATGAAAGACAGATGCCACAAAGGGGAATGTTGTTTTTTTCTGTTGCTCGCTGACATATGATTTTTTGGAAAGTTTTGTCATATTTACCTTCACAGGTTTCATCAATTGGAATACGTGTTGGAAGCAGGGTTGCCAGATCTATTAAATGAAAAAGCGGGACTGGGCGAAATTTTTTTTCGGGTGCCACGCCCAAAGGATAAGAGGGGGGGCGGAGCAAGTGCCCAATGTATCCTCCTCCTATGGACCTCCTTGAGCAAAAGCGCAACAAATTTTTTGGAGCCACCCTCAAATTTTGTTAAGAATTCAACCAAAACTCGAACAAAAAAAAAATCTCCTTAAAGCCTAGTACTCATAACTGCGAAATTCGCATTTTTTTGACATTGCTTCGTTAAATTGACGTTTGATACACGCATAAAACGTCAAATTGTCAACGCAATGTCAAAAAAATGCGAATTTCGCAGTTATGAGTACTAGGCTTTATTAAGGTACCCATTCACTTACAGTTTGCCCGCAGTTCTAGGACTATACGATCTGAACTAAAGATTTGAACTTTCTCAGGCCACACACCATTCAGTTTTGTGAAACGATGCGACCTCAGTTTTAAGACTGTCAGTTTTTGAACTGAAGGAAAACTGAGCTTTCGCCACACATACAAACATTTTGTCAGTGCTAATCGAACATAAATGTTATCAGAGCCTTCACCTGATCGCTTTGATTTCCTCACTTTTTTCAGTTCCTTTCGAAAAGCGCTTCATAAATTATTAATTTTCTTTCTAATAGAATCAATTGTTGCATTTGGATTAGTTTGTTTATAAAACAATAATAATTTTCCGTATGTTTTGTTCTTTTCGTGCCTATTTGAGTAGGACTTGCTCTTTACTTTCCAAAGACAAGGCAATTGCCTATAAATATCAATGAACTCGGTTAAAAACTCTGTATTATTACTTGACTCGGCCATTTCACAAAATCGGAATCATGAAAACTTCCAACTAGTTTGAAGATGGGATCGTACGATATCAACTGACGATTTTTCTCCATTCACTCTAGTCCGTCGTTAGATTCAAGTGAACTGCAGGCTCAGACCTGTCGACGGCCTGAACGTGTATGGCGAAATTTGAAGTTCTGGACTCCAGGCTAAAACTGTAAGTGAATGGGTACCTTTAGATAACAAAATTTTCTTTTTCTATGACAAGTTATGGTTTTTGCTGTTAAACTATGTAATGTTTTTTCACAAGGGTTCCTACTTCGTTTAATAGATGGCGCTTGAAAACGTGGATGAATCAAGACGCCATCTATAAAAAGTTATTTTGCTTTTATCACATTATATCATTGTATATTATAATTGGACACTTTCGTCACTAGGTATTTTATCACTAGTGACGCTTAGGTGACATATGACGAAAGTTGTTTATTTTTCAATGGCCAGAAAAAAGTTTTTTGCAGATGCTAGTTTGTGCAATGAAAGATTTGGATTTTGTTGGAATTTTTGACATTTTTATACCTAAAACATACAACTTCATTGAACTAAACAAACACTCTGTAACGGGCGCACTGCTTTATGCTAGTGTGCCGAATTTTGATATATGCAACCCAGCAATACAGAGGGATTATTGTCTCGCTCCCACTCATTGCGATTAACGTAAAAGAAAGAAGAGCTTCTTCTTCTTCCTAACCTCAATGATTCAAACACTTCAAACAGCTGTTCTCAATAGCCGCCATAGTGCAGAGAGAGATGCAAATCCCACTTGTTTGTTGTCCTTCCTGACACAAACCCTTGCGTAGGAACATTATGCAGCCACCGTTCCAGTGTGTTTGTTTAGTTCATTGTACAACATTTATTATTAAAACCCAAGAATCGTAAACTAACAGGATTGCTCATTCTGAGAAGGCGTACGTTCGCCGGTTCTCGAGTCCACAAGGTCTGCGAGTGACGTCACCACGTCAGCAGCTATAATAGTGTTAACGTCACCCGCAGACCTAGATGAAATGCTTGCGATTCAGGCTCGTTATTTGATTTTTGCGTCGATTTTAAATGAAGAAATAGCTATTTATGTAACAAGATGTAAATAAGCGTGTTTTTTGCACTAAATGTGAAGATTGGGTGGAAAAAGCGGGAAAATCGGGACAATTCACGTGAAAAGCGGGACCTCAAATTAATAAAAAAAAGGCGGGACCGATTAACAAAATGCGGGACTGTCCCTCCTAAGGTGGGACGTCTGGCAACCCTGGTTGGAAGCAATTTCCGCCATTTAACATAATGAGTACGACAAAAACAGGTATGCCCTCCGCAGCAGCGCGGCACTAGGCTTCACGTTCGTCAATAGTTGTATTCCTTTCAAGAGCATGAAACACTCGAGCTACTCGTTCCGGGGTTTAGTCGCCCCCGATGTGCAGAGAACAGATGCGTGGTGCAACAAACACTTTTCGAAAGGAATAAGCGCGTGAAGCCCCGGAGCTGTTCCGGAGCTCCTCCTAGGTGTGAAAGGAATACAACAAATATGTGTTCGCATTCCAGTTTTTGGTTATAATTCATTGGGGGAGTATGACACAAATGGAGTCATCACATATTCCAGCAAAAGATTATGCTTGGATATCCTCGCGAAAAATTGCTTAAATATAAGCTTTGTTTTGGTTTCACTCAGAACTAGTTCGGAATTCACACATACGCACGTTATCAAACGCGTTTTCCTTTTTTCAGAATCGTTATCGAACTATGCTGACAGCGTTTTGGTTTATTTGAAACATAAGAATGATTCTGGGATTGTTCTAGAACGGTTCTTTTAGTTCTTGCTCTGAAAGAGGAACTGTTTTGGAATAATTTTGTGATAAAAGTGTCTTGTTGTCCGAATCGATTCAGAATTAGTATTTTAGAATAGTTCCCCATTTTTTTTTGTGCGCAATCCCAGAACCGTTCCAAAATTCGAACTGAAACAAAGCTAGCTTTTTTACAAGTTCCGGAGCTATTCGTTCGGAGACATTCAGAATAAATGCGAAAAAGATCGCTTTTTAAATCCAAATTCTTGATATTTGTGAGTCACAATCAGAGAGTAAGTGGTAAGTTCGAAAAAGCTCCGAATCAAATGAATGTTACTCCACTCCAGCCGTTCGAGAATCCAGATACTCCAGAGCTTTGTTTTGGTTCTAAATTTGGAACGGTTCTGGGATTGCGCAGAACTGCTCGCAAGCAAAGAATAATGGAGGAATATTCTAATTAATACCTTAGAGCTGGTAAAAGTAAAGGAGAGAAAACCTAAGCCGCTTCCAGGTGCTGAGTATGAAGCTCCTAGAACAATTCACACCATGCGTTTTGCACTCGAACGCGTGAAACCGAACGTGTCAAACTGTAGCCGGACTACTTCGGAGTAACTCGGGAGCGCTCAAAGGGTGGCACCCGAAAGCAGCTTGGAATTGGAAAATGTAGCCATTTTTTCCAAGGATGATACACACTACTACTACAGAATAGTCTATCCTCATAAGGCCTGGGTGTGGAACAAATCCCCCACTTCCTTTCCCGTGTAAAATCACCACTTGTGACGTCGGCAGCATGTTGCTTCTCGCCTTGACGTAGGCTGTTTAATTGTTCAAGCCAATTGACCTTTTGTTTGGACGCCATATTGCGGTGCGCGAACATAGTTGCCAAAAGAAGAAAACAAAAATTACTAGCGGGCTGTCAACATTAAAAACAAAAGTACCCAACTAAATGATTGATCCTCGCTATCCTTTTTGTTTGTTTACTTTCTCTATCTGATTGATGAAAGTAAATAGGTAGATATTTTATTATTTCTATTCTGCCCAATATGAGCTAAAATTGAAATTGATGGCTTTTTTTTTCAAAAACATT